GAATGCTAACTGTTCTTTGAACATTAGTCTCAAGTCTGACGACGACCTGGGGATCCGGTGTCGAAAATTTACTGAATAAACTTACTCATTTTCCCAAATGACGCCTTTCCTTGAAATTACATTTTTTGGCATGCCTGCCTTTCAGTTGACAGTATTCATTTGAGTAGAGCCCACAGCAGGTGAATTTTATAAGCCTCAAGAAATACGTTCAATTCCTCGACGTGATGTGAGGACGTCATCAGGAATGCTATTCGTCCCCCATCTGCTGGATGAAGAACGAATTATTTGCCTTTCTTAGGAGACATCACCGCATCCATATGGATCAGACTCCAAACTCTATCTGATCTTATGACTGTAAATCATGAAAAAAAACGATTCAATTCACCTGCCCATGCTATTTCATAAACGTCCTACCGCAGATCATAGTGGGAATACAATCATTTATTTGTCGCACTATCCAGCGGATTGAAGGTATCTTGCAGTGTTTTAGAGCTGTAGCAGACATATGTTAACATGACTAATCGGTGGTTTGACCGCACCCTCTCATATCAAGTATCATTTAACCAACTTACACAAGACTCGGATGACCGTTTTAATACAAATAGGTGGGTATCACTATCCCTTCTCCTCCTGTAATAATGTCTTTAAACACCGATTTTTCAACCCAGGCAAATGCGCTTACTCCTTCGCTTATAAATATTTACTTTATTTAATTTTATCCTGGAATATAGCTCACCAGCCTTTAATTTGAAAGAGAATTTAAACGTGTAGCATTCACTATCGCAGTGTCCTCCCCATGAAGACATTTCACCGCAATCGGTCTTTTATACAATCTCTCAGCACATCTTCGCAGACTAAATTTCCCATAAAAAGTCAGTGGCAATCAAATTATATTGTAATCAGTCGGTACTCTGTGCCTGGTAAAGTAGAAGTAATGGAGACTGCTTGGTTAATTCCGTTTGGATAGGCAAACGCTTGGCTTTATATTCCTAAACATGAAAGCATTTGGGCTGGAAGTTATTCCTTTAACGTTGACTATCATTGGATTTCCTTCCTGTTTATTGAGCTAGCAAAATGATTTGGCTCTTCTCTTGATTTTTTTTATCACATCTGTCATTACTGGCCGTTATCCTCCTGTTTGCAAGTAATTCTGCTCTGACCTGCTTACTGTGCCAAATAATAAGTAGTATTTGACTTACTTCCCATTGCAGTGAAAATAGGACGCACAACTAAATAATGCCGCATTATTCCTGCTCAATGTAACTGTCTAAGGTGAATAATATGGACCAGGTCTTGGAGAGAAATCTTTGGTTGTTTATTTGCACGTTAACCGCCGAATCGAACGGCCATCCTCCTTAAAGCAAAGTTCCCATCAATTTAGAGCACTTAGGCAGTCTTTATAACATGCACTTAAGTGCAAACCTCACCCTCAAAATCGAGCCTTATAATCTTGTTGGCTTTCAAGCAGACTTTGTGAAGCTCGCAACCAGGCGGCTGTAAATACTTAAATCCTTCAATCACCGCTAGGAGCATTTTCGATGCAGAATGTCCATCATCAAGATGACGTCGTTATAGCACTTAAACAAACCCAAGGAATATCTGTTAGTAAGCGTTCATCAGATAGCTTATTGAGTAACCTTGACGTTACCTAAGCATAAAATAGAAACTGACTGGAAAATCAGCATCCCAAGAAGTATAATACCTTGTGAAACTGACTGCTTGCAACTTATGCAACTTATTAGCTCTCGCGCTAAACGAATGAGCATCCTAAGTTATCTTGCCTGCCTTATAATTTCTGACTTTCTTTTTTGCCGAAAGGGAGTAAAATCTCCCTTTTCTATTAAATATCGTGACTGAATATCCGGATATCAGCACATTTTCCACTTGGACCGGATTTCTCGTTGTGGCTGCCCACGTCTGCGGCCATACATATGGCGTGCCGAGGAAGATCTGGGCAAACGGCGACAGAG